ATCGATGACTCAACTCTAAACAAAAAAAAAAGGGTTTGATTAGAGAAATTTTTTTTTAAAAGTCAATAAAAAAATGTACATATAAGCACATCGTCAAGCATGATGCAATCAAGTTTGCAACCTAAAGTCAAGATCTATGTTCCACTATGGTCAAGATTTTGGGTGTCAAAGGGTACCATGGTTAAGAGTTTGGACGCATTAGCAAGGCAGTCTCCCTTGAGGGTTTATGCCTATTGGCAGCTCCGCAAGTTCGTGATGAAATCGAACTCGACTCCATGGTTCAGGTGGATATAAAAACTCGGATGAACTCTTATTGCCATGAACGTTTTCGAGTTAATAGAGCATAAATCCCCCAGGCTAGCCACATACGTAGAACACGTACTATTGTGGAAAAATAGGTAGCCTTAAAAGCATATGCATATGTGACAATGCCAATGGAATCGCAGGACAGACCTAAATGCGACGTTAAAACGTCTATGCTTATGGAAAAATGCCAAATTAATCACAGGAATATTTTTCAAGAATCTTTCAAGTCTCATCCAATCATCTGAATTAAATACCGATCACTCAAATCGATAAATAACCAAGAATCCTCCCCAGTGGAGTCGCCAAATTGTAGGTGTCGCTCGAAGTGCGCCTAAGTTAAAGCATGTTGTGAATATGCTTGACACTCATAGGAAGTGAGAATTGAAATATACGATTAAGGACAACGATTAGGGACAAGAAAAGTAGGGAGCCGCCAACAGGTTTTTAAGGAACTTGTAAACCGTTCACGGATAATTTAAGGCAACCACGAATAAAGGGACAAAGAAAGGCAACAACAATTGACCCGTGAAGGTTACACTCCATTCATGATCCATGAGATTATTAACTCCATATGGTTCAGAACCACGAAAGGAGGATCGGGGGTGATGACACGAAGTGAGTCATGGAGTCACATGTGCCTGTATTGGCCTCTACTTGATTCTTATGGTCAAAAGTGATTCCTGCGATCTCAAAGGCATACAAACAAAGATTCAATTTGTTCCAAACTATTATTAGGCTAAATTGGTTGAATATTAATGCAACACATAATTCTAAAATATTTGTGATCACTTGATTCAACAACAAGATTAAAAGGAACCTAAACCGGTTATCCAAATAATCTTATTAGGCGTGATTTTCAATTACATATTCTCTTTAAACATGCAATATGGTGATCATTAATAATAATAGAGTAAAAACTAATATTGAAAGCAATTTAACAATAAATTGTTAGTCAAATCAAATATAAATAAACCTAATCATGATACTAGCAATATTAAAATAAGACTAATTAAGTGAATCAATTACTCACTTTTCGCGTTTCCTTGAATTGCTACATCATGAATAAACTGTTAGAAACTCCAAAAAAAAATATAAATCAAATTGAAAATTAAATTAAATTAAAGTAGATTTGATTTGCTCCAAACCCTCAGTCGATTATACCTTTCACGCCTTGGTTTAAGCATCGAACTTTGGGTATTGTATGGACTCCTTGAGTGCTTAGGAGAAGTATTATGGAAGAATAGGGAGGCTAGTGTTTAAGCTATAATTATTTGATGGTCAAGCTTATTGATGATTGAAAAAGGGGAGATATGACCTTTATTTATAGATAAAAAAGAAGGGTCGAAAAAACAAGATAATATCCTAATTAAATCGGAATAAAACTCGATAGACTGTAGTTTTTGCGGTTTTTGTTTTTATCATATCTTTTTATCTAGAAATTGTAATAAGATAAGTAATATGTCTTTGGAAAGCTATTTAAGTATAATTTCTAACCCAATTAGAATCAGATTAAAATCCGTTGTAGAATAAAAGATAAGTACGAAATAGTGGAACGGTGTCAGTTTTGGATAGAGTTTGATATTTAATTTATATCTTTTTCGTTATAGCTCGGAATTGATATTATATAATATATCATTGGAAAGAAAATTTCAAGGGTTATACAACAATATAAGATTTGGATAAAAAAATATGAGGAACGAAAATAATATCTGTCTATCTTTGAACGTCTTTCAATCCGGATAAAATTAGGACTTTCAAAAAGAAAAAGGATAATTAAGATATTTTAGAAGCTTATAGAAGTTCCCAATTAATCCTAATTGGTTTAGGAATGGGATTAAATCCTTTGGACCCTCCACATGATCATTGGGTCGTAGGTAAGGTGGTCTTAGGTTCGGTTTGGGCTCATTTTAATATTTTTGCCATATCTTATTCGTTATAACTCGGATTTTGGCTTATAATATATCGTTGGAAAGTTATTTTAAAGCCCCATCCAATTATTCAATCATTGGACCCAGATTATGGACAAAAATTATTTAATTGGACTAAACGTTTTTTATAGAAAGGACACGAAATGAATGATTTTAGAGGACACGAAATGAACTATTTTGGGTTTAAAGGCATGAAAATGGGAAAATAAGTGACGGTTTGGGAAAATGGGATAGGAATTGGTTTGTTTATGAAATGTATATATGGATTTAAGCACTCCAAAGATTAAATACTTTAAGCCAAGTTTAAATACTTTAAGCCAAGTGACGGTGAAAGGTTGTTCATCATCGGGTTTGGTTTTGGGGAAACATTTTTAGGTGTCTACACATACATTAAGCCAAGTTTCACACAATGCATTTCTAAAGTTTTAAGCTTGGGTTTGAAAGTTACCATATCTTAAGGAAAGATGCACAAATCAATCACTCAACGTGTTAACTCATGACATAGCCGTCCCAGCATTTTGTCATTTTGTTGGCGATATGGGTGGGATAATTGTTATTGATTTTGGGATAGAAGCCAAGTGTTGGCAACCCCTAATCAATGAGCCAATCCCCAAAGGTTAAAGTGTGCTTTGATTATAATATCAATATAACAACTTAAAAGTCGGTTTGTGTAATTAAGAAATACTCCCTACGTCTTCTCTCTGTTCGCTCTTCTCTCTCCTCTCTTTAGGGTTTCAATTTTCTTAGTCGTTTAGGCCGGAAATAGTCTAATTTCTTCAGATTTTAGACTATTTCCAACCCTTTTCTTCAATTTAATTTGATTTTTTGTTATTTGATTTGTTTTGATTTGTTTTGTTCTCTCCGTTTATGAGAGTCTGTCCCAATTTTTTTGGGGTTTTCCCAATTTTTTAGGATTTTGATTCTCATCTATGGATGAGAATTTTATTATTAGGGTTTTAATAATAATTGAGAAGGTGATTTGGATTCATATGGGTTTAGGGTTCGTCATCAACTCTACGATCAAAACATCAGCGCAAATTGCGAAGGTCTCTACTTGGAAAGATGCAATGACATCGAAAATCACTACTCGCGTCAAGTTTGAAGCGGTGGAGTGTGATCTATGCGCGATATGCAAAATAGTTATGATTTTGATTGTAAAAGTTATGTTATTTTCTCTAGATCTGTGGTTTACAATTCTTTATTATTGTTGCAGATGTCGTATGGCTATTTATTAATGATAATATTCTTCTTCTTGTCAAAAAAAAAAAAGAAAGCGTGCTTTGATTATGCATGATGCAAAGTAGCTTGTTTGGTTTTTACTTTTGTGAAAAAGGAAGATATTATGCGTTTAAGACTCGTTGTCTAACTAGAGATTATGCAAGTTAATTCTCCTTACAACCCATAGACAACCTAGTGTTGGAAACCTTGGACCATAACTAAAAATTAATCTTGTAACCTCTAAGTCCCCAATGGAGTCGCCAATGTAAGGAGGGTGTTCCCATCGTAGGGGATCTTTTTCCTTAAATGCCCATAGCCCTTTAAAAGCCTAGGACTTTACACTTGTTATGGTGTATTAGGATTTTAATTCCTGACTGTAAGGGGGACCTTGAATTAGAATTGATCCTATCATCACGGTTTTTTGTTAGAAACAAGTAGGAGTCACCAATGAGTTTTAGGAAAACTCATAAACATTGTTCATGCCTTTCTCCCAAGTAGAGTTCAAGGGATAATTATCACGAATCGTAAATTTACACATGCCCAGATTGGTCAAAATAAACCAGAAATGAGTTCGGGAGCGAGGGTACTAATTAAGATAACGTTCCCTTTAGAGGGGAATTGTTATTCTAGCCCTAGTATAGCCTCTACTAGCTCTTCCTTTTCACAATTTTATCACTAAACAATTTATGCGACGTGGTATCTAAAAATAAGTTAGTTGATTTTATTTACACGCGTTAATCACGTAGGAATTACATTGCAAAAGTCGTTATTCTCATTTAATCAATATTAGTGAATAGAACAAAATAAACAAGATTTGCCTTGCCTTAAGTGATCAAACAACAATTAATTATTCAATTCCATTCTTATTTAATGCAAGATACTATGTAAAATTAATTAATTACAAGTTCGTTTAAAGTGATCAAACAACACTAATTAATTAATTAATTAAAGTTATTTTAACCAAGAAAAATAAGGTGATTGATCTAAGTGCTCGGGAATTTACCACTTCTCTTTGCTAGATCTTCATTTAGAATACTTATGGAATCCTTCTTGTTTGGGAACTTTCACCGTAGTAACAAGTATTAAAGGGGGTTAGTGTTTAGGAAAAGAGGGTTAGGTAGTTTACAAGTTCACAAAGTTTCTGCCAGAGTTTTTAGGTTAATATCTATTTGTTTAAGCCTCTTATTAAGCCTCTATTTATAGGGAATGGATACTTTTAAGGTTTTGAGCATTCTGCCGCAGCAAGTGTCGCGTGCATCAGAATGGGTTGTGCACCACAGCCTAGTACAAGTGCATTGGTTGTGCTGCTATGGGCAGTGCAACTAATAGTCTTGCGCGTAGTATTATGGTAGATTCGATTTTAAATTTTTATGAAATTTTGAATCTTCCGCAAGCGCATAAATAGTAGTTGTGCTAGGTGATGAACGTAATCTTGTGAGTTGCGCGTGCCTGACAAGCGCGACTCATTGATATGCGCGCGGATTTCTCTGCGACAACATTGATTTTTATCCGGGAAATTGTTCAATCCTTTGCAACATTAATGGAAAAATGTTTCAAAATGCTCTTTGTGATCTTGGTGCAAGTGTTAGAATAATTCCTTATTCGATTTTTTGGAAGCTTAAGCTAACTGAGCTTCTCCCAACCAATATGACCTTACAATTGGCTGACTGTTCTATTAAGTTTCCTAATGAAAGATTTGAGAATGTCCCCCTGAAGATAGGTGAGTTTACAATTCCATTTGACTTCATTGTGCTTGAAATAGCAAAAGATGGCAATATACCTATAATCTTAGGGAGACCATTCTTAACTTTTTCGGGTGCTTTGATTGATGTAAAAGGTGGCCTTATTACATTGCATGTTGGTAATAATAAGGTGAGTTTTGAGATTAAGTCAATGCAAGAATCTTTGTCTTTTATGAAAGGAATTATGTGTATAAATTCACCACATTCCAATGATAATGTACGTATGCATGTTTGTGTCTTCTACTAACGATGCTCTTGAAGTTTGTGATAATGTTTCTATAAGTGTTGAAAGCAAGACGGTTAGTGAAGATAACATAGAGCCTTCAAAGCTTGTGGATGAGGATGTGATTGATATACCTTTATGGTTTGAGCTCTATCCATGAGAGGATCAGGTTGACTCCAAACGTGTCGATGGTGAGAAGTCGTTCACTACAAGGAGCAAGAAGACAAAAAAAGAAAAAGAGATCTTTCATGAAGAAGAAAATGAAATTGAAACAAAGCAAGCTTGAATCAGAATTATCAACACAAGAGAATGCATCCAACAAAGAAGTGGAGTTGCCAAATAATGGCACGAAGTTTGTTTCCTCTACCGCTTTGGAAAAAGTGGTTTTCTTTGACACTCCGTGATTTAGAGGAAGGGTCGAGATTAAGACCTTAAGCAAGCGCTTCTCGGGAGGTGTAGGCGTCGCTCGAAGTGCGCCTACGTTAAAAGCATGTGTGAATATGCTTGGCACTCTTAGGAAGTGGGAATTGACGTGTACGATTAGGGACAAGGGAAGTAGGGAGCCACCAACAAATTTTTAAGGAACTTGTAAACCGTTCACGGATCATTTAAGGCAACCACGATAAAGGGAAAACGATAGGTAACAACGATTGATCCATGAAGGTTACACCCCATTCATAATCCATGAGATTACTAACTCCATATGGTTTTGAACCACGAAAGAAGGACCGGGGATGATGGTACGAAGTGAGTCATGGAGTCACATTCGCCTGTATTGGCCTCTACTCGATTCTTATAGTGAAAAGTATTCCTGCGATCTCAAAGGCATACAAACAAAAAACTCAATTCCCTCCAAACTATTATTAGGATAAATTGGTTAAATATTAATGCAACCTATAATTCTAATATATCGTGATCACTTGATTAAATAACAAGATTAAAAAGGAACCCTAACCGGTTATCCAAATTATCTTATTAGGCGTGATTTTCAATTACATATTCTCTTAAACATGAAATATGGTGATCATAAATATATAATACAACTAACATTATTATTAGAAGCAATTAAACAATAATATCGTTAGTCAAATCAAATATAAAATAACCTAATCATGATACCAGTAATAAGAATAAAAATAAGAGTAATTAAGTGATTAATTACTCACTTTCCGCGTTTCCTTGAATTGCTACATCATGAATAAACTATTAGTAACTTCAACAAAAAATATAAATTAAATGAAAATTAAATTAAATTAAATAATAAAGTAGAGTTAATTTGGTCCAAACCCTCAGTTATTTGTACCTTTCACGCCTTGGTTTAAGGACGGAACCTCGGGTTAAGTATAGATTCCTTGAAGTGCTTAGGGGAAAAATGATGTAATTAAGAATATAGGTTTAAGTCTTTGAATATAAGAGAGAGAGAATAGAATGATTTTTGGTGTAAAAGAGAGGAAGAGAGAAGGATTTGATGCCCTGAACTGCAGAAAGGAGGTGGTATTTATAGGGAAAACGAGAAGAGGGAACACACGGAACCCTAAAAAGATAAAAACCCTAAAAAATAACACCGCGACACGATAGAGAACACCGTGACACGGTGCCAGGCACCGTCAGATGGGGGAAAATTCTATGACGCGGTGGACAACTGGAGTGACGCAGGAAATTTTTTACCTACGAAAAGTGATAACTCGTGAAGGGTTTACGCGGATAATACACGAGAAAATTCCGTGACACGGCACACGTACCATGACACACAAGTTTCCACCGTGGCACGGTATAGTACACCGTGTCACGGTATGAGAAAACACGGAAATTACACGGAAAAAGCACCGTGTCACGGTGAGAACAACAGTAGGTACCGTGTCACGACAATTGGTACCGTGCCAAAGTGGAATTTGATGCAAAAAAGCTTCAAAAATGGCAACGTGAAACGATGTACAGTACCGTGATACGGTTCCAGGAACTATAAGACGGGGCACACTCCCATGACACGGTGCTTTCGCACTGTGCGCGGTGGTTCTAGTTTTTTACCCGTTTTTAAAATTATCATAACTTTTGATCCGTAACTTGGAATAAGTCATAAAATTTACCATTAGAAAGCTTATAAAGTATACTTTACAACCCAATTTTAATCAGCTCAAAAGATTTTTTATATTTTATGATATGGCTATTTTAGTTGAAGGGTGTCGGTTTGAAGCCGAGTTTAGTGTTTTGCTCATATCTTTTTCGTTATAGCTCGGAATTGGGCTTATGATATATGGTTGGAAAGCTTATTTCAAGTCCTATCCAACCACATAATAATTGGATCAAAATTATATAGCCATAAAATCAGTCTAGCTCGGTTTTGTAATGTGGATATGAAAAGTGGAAAATATGTTATGCGTTAGAGAAATGAGCTAGAAATTGGATAGGTTTATGAAATATATTGGATAGAACTTGGATTTAATCACTGTAAAGATTAAATACTCAACCCGACCAATAATGGCGGTGAAAGGTTTTCATCATTGGGTTTTGTTTTGGGGAGACATTTATAGGTGTCTACAAAAGCCCCCACTTTGACTGAGTTTGTAGAAACGTCAAATTCGAAAACGATAGTCAAAGTATTAGATAGGGACGGAGAATGATTTTTTAGACGTTCTGCGATCCTAAATCACTCTGTATATGCCGATACCTGCAGAAAACGTTAGTTCCACAGATAAAAGAGTAAAGGGAAAAAATGCTTATCTGACACTAGTTTATCGGTGACAAATTAGTATGGTAGCTTCCTATGCTTGAAGGAATCCACCGGATGACGTTTGTTGAAATACTTTCCATGCCTGAGGAAAGTCGACTGATGAGTTTGGTAGTTTTAATTTCTAAGCCTAAAGAAACCTACGGGATGATACTTTCCATGCTTGAGGAAAGTCGAAATATGAATTTTGTGTTTTCCTATGCTTGAAGAAACCCACCGATAATACTTTCGATGCTTGAGGAAAGCCAACAAAGGAATTTGGCGGTTTTCTATGCTTGAAGAAACCCACCGGATAATAATTTCCATGCTTGAGGAAAGTTGACAGATGATTAGATTGCAAGTCTATGTGTATCGAGAACCTTACACCGTGAAATGATAGTGGTTCGATTGTCCCCAAACGTGGGTTTTCGTTGGTTTGCTTGTCCCCGAACGTGGGCTGGAAATGGTTCGCTTGTCCCCAAACGTGGGTTGTAGATGGTTCGATTGTCCCCGAACGTGGGCTGTAAATGGTTCGCTTGTCCCCAAACGGGGGTTGTAAATGGTTCTCTTGTCCCTGGACGTGGGCTCTAGGTGGTCCGCTTTTCCCCGGACATGGGTTGCAGATGGTTTGCTTGTCCCCGAACATGGGCTGCAAATGATCCGCTTGTCTTCGGACGTGGGCTATAGATGGTCCGCTTGTCCCCGGACGTGGGTTGTAATTGAGACCTGCAAAATAAAATTTTCCAAGGGACTCGTATAGACTATGATTAACTTGACCAACTAGCTTGACCAAGTTTGACTTGACACGACATGACATGACATGAGAAGGACTTGTGATTGTGTGTGTATATGGTGTGTGTGTGTGTGTGCAGACACAAGCAACCAAAAATGAAAAAACAAAAATTTTCCATCATTATTGTTTTGAGACGAGTGGAGGGTACCGACTTTCTCCTAAAAAAGAAAGACGTAAAAACTGAACTTTTATTTTCGAAATTACCTCAATGAGAAAAAATTTTGAAAAAGTTTTGGAACTTCCCCAAAAGAAAAGACATGAAAAAGAGAAGAAATTTTGAACTTCCTCGTAGAGTAAGACGAAATGAATCGCATGGATTGTATGCATGATGCATGTTCTTAGGCCAGGTGGTTAAGGACAATTACATCATGTGACACGATAGATGAATGAACTTAGGTCATGGAGCTAAGCATCATATATGGTGTAAAGAAACGATCTTTAACGTCACTCAGGTCTTGAAGCTAAGCACGTATATAGATGAAGTGATTATTGCTTAATGAACGTTGCTTAGGTCAAGGAGCTAAGAACGATATGCTTTGTATGATTAAAAATCATTGATATATAAATATTGCTCAACATATTATACGATGCATGAAACAATGAACATTGCTCAGGTCATGAAGCTAAGCAAGTATACAATGTTTCTTTTAATGAATGTTTTCCTGAAAGACAATGAAACATGCACAGTGTTTAAACAAGATTTCATGATAAAGGACTCTTAAAGGGAAGGATGATTGATATGGATATGGATGTGTGAGTGAAGTGTGTGAATGTGATACTAAGGCTGGCTGTAAGGGTTATGGTGATGGAAATATATGTGAGAAGAGTCAAAGATGATGACTCTTTAGGCTGGGTAAGCTAATGTGATATAGGTTCAAGCCACCAAGTCTAGCTCTAAATGGGTAGGGGTAACCACTGGATATTCTTTGACTCGATCATGCAAGGATATAATAGGAATGTGGCCGCACCTCGATGTGAGGTTGCTTACGTATCCGTTAGGAATCAGGCCGAACGTAGCTCTAACCGAACTTTGCACAAGTGTATGTACACCTCATAGAGGTCTTCCAAGGGTTGTAATGGTTAAGCTGATGGTTTAAGGAAGAAAGGGTTGAAAAGGCACAAGACCCGTGAGAAGCCTCCAAGATGTGTAATTGTGAATTTGAAAGTTTCAAATTTTGTAAGTTTATTTTCAATTTTTTTTTTTTGAATTTTTTTTTTTTTTTATTCTTTTGAATCAATGTAGGCAATCTCATATCATGCGGTCCATCACTCACTTAGCATTCACGTTTCTTAGGCACGGTACCAAGAACTCGATGAGAGACGCAATTTGAGACATGTTCATATCAAAGACATTGGAACACTTGCCTTAAGACATTGTTTTATTGTTGCTTTGCTACTTCTTTTTTTTACTTGCTTTTAGAATGTTATACAATTTTACATCTTCCAATCCCAAGGTTAAGTAATGTGGGTTGAAGAAATGAAGATCAAACGTTAGACGAGGCTCAAAATGGTTGATGAAGAAATGAAATGTGATTGAACGGTTAACGGGAAATGACAGTGTTGCAAAGGTGCCTCACGTCATTGGTGTACCTAGTGTTTAGTTCGGTAATTGATTTATTTTTATTTTTTTTTTAAATAATGAATGAATGAAAAATGCTAT